TATATTCACAGGGCCTTAGCCTAGGTAATTTCATAATAGAGAAACCCTGGATCAATCCCCTCTGTGGGAACTCTAGCTTCCTCTCCCATATCACCATCCATTCTCAGCAGGAAGCAGTTAAGAGTGGTCATCGTCCTTTTTCCCTAAGAGGCAGTTGGAACTTCTATGCAGAGTGGGAAGATTGATACAGGATTTCATTATTTTGGGCTGTATACCTTGGAAGGTTATGACAACAAAGACCTCGCACAGCAGGTGTTGAGGTAATGGTTATTCTGGTATCGGCCAAGGTAAGAAAATTTCACTTGTTGGATTTATATCTGTTTCAGCTGATCTTAAAGTTATACCACTCTTTGGAAAGGGTCTGAGTTTGGTACAGCCCTTTCCCCACCTAACATAACTTCGGGTGGTGGTTAATACTTCCCATGAAGGCGTCATGAACCCTATGGGATTAGTTGAGTGGCGATTAGCACAAAGGGGAATATATTTTCCCCTATGCCTAGTTTGGCTAAGATAAGTTTCCTTTATAACCGGATTAGCTCCATTGGTGTATTTTTGTTATACTTATATACCCTTTTGTTTCTTTTACTTAGCAGGAAGGAAAGCTCCTTGGTGAGGAGAACGGCTGAAATAACCAACAACAGATTTTCTCCCTTGCCTAGCCAGAAATGTCTTTAATACACTAGAGGGGGGGAAATGTAAGGGACGCCAAGAGTAAGACAACCTCTAAGCAAGATGATCTGCAGCTGAGGGGTGGACCCTTGGGTCATTCATCCACAGGTGCTCTTTGTGGAGAAAGAGCCAGAGCCTTCAGCACGTAGTCATTTATTAATTACTCCCCCCACCTGTGTTGTACAGTCTCAATAAAAGGCTGGTGCAGAGGTTGCTCAGGGCTACCCTGCAAAGAAGGGCTAGTCCATCTCCCTCAAGCTTGCATTCTGATCCTCGTCATGCCTGGTTCCTTACTGCGGTGATCGAGACCAGGGCCATGGGGCAATGGGTTGCGACACCCATGACCTGTCATGGCCTGCATTTTCCAGATATGCAAATACCCTGCTCATTCCTGAATAAATTTTTATTTTTAGAAATCTTCTCTTATTTAGGTTGCCAAAGGTGAATCACCTCCCAACACTGTCTCTCTTAAGGTCATAAACATACAGGTAGGTACACCTCATAAACAAACGGGTACACCTCAGATGACACAGAGTGATTCCGCCATCACCATAAAGCAAGTATCACCATAAAGCAAGCCACATGAACTTTTTGGTTTGCCAGTATATATTTATACCATGCTGTAGTCCAATAGCATTATGGACTAAAAACATAATAGCATTATGCCTAAAAACATGATATACTTTAAAAAATTATTTGCCAAAATTATGGTAACATTTTACTACACCCTCAGCAAGTCATAATCATTCTATTGGTGGAGGGTCTCACCTCTATGCTGATGGCTGCTGACTCAGCAGGATGGTGTGGTAGTGGCACAATCATAGGTCCTGATACCCTCAAACTCTTGGTCTGAAACAATCCTTCTACCTTGGCCTCCCAAAAGCTGAGATGAGGCTCAGCACCTGTGGCACAGTGGTTAAGGTGCTGGCCACGTACACCAAGGGTGGCGGGTTTGAACCCGACCCGGGCCAGCTAAACAACTGCAACAAAAAAATAGCCTGGTGTTGTGGTGGACCCCTATAGTCCCAGCCACTTGGGAGGCTGAGGCAAGAGAATTGCTTAAGCCCAAGACTTTGAGGTTGCTGTGAGCTGTGACGCCATGGCACTCTACCAAGGGCAAAATAGTGAGACTCTGTCTCAAAGAAAAAGAAAAGATTTCTCAACAGTGGGCTTAAAATATTCAGTAAGCTGAATATTTTACTATGCTGTAAATCAGAGGTCCTCAAACTTTTTAAAAGGGGGCCAGTTCACTGTCCCTCAGACCGTTGGAGGGCTGGACTGTGGGCCCTGGGACGAGTCAGCTGCTAAGTAGGACAGGCAGTGGCAGCAAAAACACCTAGCGGCCGGATAAATGTCCTAGGCGGGCTGCATGTGGCCCTTGGGCCACAGTTTGAGGACACCTGCTGCAAATAGATGTGCTGTCAACAAGCCTTTGTTGTTCCATTTCTAGAGTACAAGCAGAGATTTATAATAGCATAAGTCTTAAGGGCCCTAGAACTTTCAGAGTAATAAATGTGCACGAGCTTCAACTTACAGTCACCAGCTATATTATCCCCTACCAAGAACATCAGCCTGTCCTTTGAAGCCGGGCATTGACTTCTCTTCACTAGATACAAATGTCCTGAATGGCATCTTCTTCTGGTACTGTAAAAGGCTGTTCTGCTTACATGGAAACCTATGGTTGAGTATAGCCACCTTCACCAATGATCTTCAGAATAACTTGCTGTAGCTATCATATTACCACCCGCTGCCTCACCTTGCACTTTGTTATGGAGATGGCTTCTTTCCCTCAGCCTCATGAACCTACCTCTGTCAGGTTCTAACTTTTTTTCTCCAGCTTCCTCACCTCCCCCAGCCTTCACAGAATTAAAGAGAGTTGGGGACTTGCTCTGCATTAGGCTCTGGCTTAAGGGAAAGTTGTGACTAGTTTGATGTACCCAGACTACTCAAACTTTCTCTACATCAGCAATAAGGTATGTGTGTCCCTTTCTTATCATTCATGTATTCTCTGGAGTAGCACCTTTAATTTTCTTCAAGAACATTTCCTTGCATTCACAACTTGGCTGACTTGTTCAAGAAGCTTACCTCAGCTTTCAGCAGGCCTTCCTCACAAATGTGACTCATTTCTAGCTTTTGATAAAGTGGCATGTAACTTTCTCTCACTTGAAACATTTAAGAGCCCATTAATTGGCTTAATTTCAATACTGTTGTGCCTCAGGGAATAGGGAGGCCTGAGATGCAGGAGAGAGTTGGGGGAATGACAGGTCAGCAAAGCAGTAAGAACATACTCATTTATCAATTAAGTTCACTGCCTTACATGAGCAAAGTTCCTGGCACCCCAAAACAATCAACAACAGTAACATCAAAGACTACTGGTCTCAGAGCACCATGACAGATACAATAAAAGTTTGCAATGTTGCCAGAACTACCAAAATGTGAAACAGAGACACAAAGTACATGCTGTTGGTAAAATAATGCCACTAGATTAGACTACACAGGGTTGCCACAAACCTTTGAATTGTAAAAAAGCATGGTATTGGGCTGGGCGAGGGCTCATGCCCATAATCCTAGCACTCTGGGAGGCTGAGGCAGGTGGACTGCCTGAGCTCACAGGTTCGAGGCCAGCCTGAGCCAGAAAGAGACCTCATCTCTAAAAAACAGCTGCGCACTGTAGTGGGCACCTGTAGTCCCAGTTACTTGGGAAGCTGAGGCAAGAGAATCACTTGAGCCCAAGAGCTACAGGTTGCTGTGAACTCTGACACCACGGTACTCTAACAAAGTGACACACTATTTCAAAAATAAATAAATAAATAAAAGTGCCACTCTGTGAAGTGCCACAAAGTGAAGCACAATAAAAGGAGACATAACATCCTACGTTAGAGGATGCTAGGTGGCGAGCATTATTTGAACATTTATAGTAGGCCCTCTGTATCCACAGGTTCTGTATCCATGGATTTAATCAACCTTAAATCAAAAACAATTCAGAAAGACATAAAAATGATAATGCAATGATAAAAAATAATACAAGTAAAAAAGTACAGTATAGCTACTATAATGGCATTTACACTGTATTAGGAATTGTAATTAACCCAGAGATGGTTTAAAGGATGGGGAAGATGTACCCAGGTTACATGTAAACATACCAGTATCCATGGGGGAGTTTTGATGCCAATGCCCTGCAGATACTGGGAGAAGGGCAGCTGTGTTTCAATGAGCCTGTGTTTGCAAGGCTTTGGTTTGTTCAAGCCAAGCATCAACTCCTGTTGTGTAGTGTCACCAATACAGTTTAGGAAATGGAGCTAAAAGTAGGTGGAAATGTGTATTTGCCACCTACTTTTAACATATTCACTATTTTAGCTTATTTTTAACTTTTTTCCAAAACTATTTTCAATCTAGTCACGACAAAAATAGCAGCTAACTTTATTGAGTTATGTACTGGGCACCCTGCTAAGCACTTCACCCACAGTATCAACTTCAATCTTTGCACATGAGGAAACTAAGAGGTTAAGAGAGGAAGCCAAGGTCAAAGAGCTAATAAGCAGAGGCACTGTCCAGGTAAGGTTACCATCTTGTCTCCACCAATCAGGTTTCCAGCACTGTCAAATGCAAGGGTATCCCAAAACTTCTCACAGCAACTCTTCCAAGTGAGAATTCATAATGAAAGGATAGAGTGCTAAGCGTTCCTTGGTTCTCATTTTTCTCTTTGCTTTCCACAGATAATAAAAACAATCACCGGCTAGGAAAACAGTAAGGTTATCTGAACACTACAGGTGGCACTGTTCAAAAGCCCTGTTCTTTAGTTAGACACGAAACCAAAATCTGACCTTTCACCTCAATCTCATCACAATGAGCTTTTCCCCTTTTAAAGCAAACACTCCCTCTCCCCGTATTCAGGTTTTCCTCCCCTACCTCGCACTGCAAGTTCGCAGGCCAGAATTCGGAGTCCTCTAAATGACAAAAACAATCAAGAAAAAAACCACCAAAAATACCCAAAACAAAACCTCTCAAAGATAAATTTAATCATTTAAGTACTTTAAATAACATAGTGCTAGCATTGTCTTTTTTTCTTGGGGGTTTCCCGTTACAGTTTACACTTCAGAGAGAGAGCTCCGCATTACGACTTCCAGCCGGCCGGAACCAACTCACTGGCCCCCGAACAGAAACACGCCCGCAGGCCCGCGGCCCGAGCTGGAACTCGCAGGCAGGCCGCGCCGCGGGCCGGCTCCACGTCGGGGCGCCGGGCGGACCCAGACCGTGCCGGGCTCCGGGCTCCGAGCTCCGCCGGACCGAGCAGGGACGCGGCAGAGTTGCCTCGGGCCCCACAAACTCACGTTTGTACTCGGCCATCAGCCTCTTGAGCGCCGTCCCCGCCATGGCCTGGCAACAGCAGCGCACAGCAGCCTCGACTCATCAGCGCTGGTCCCTCCCGCCCCAACGCCGGGGACCACTTCCGGGTCGCCGCCGCGCGCACAGAAGTGCCTCCGGGGCGTGGTGCGGGGCGCGTCTGTGCATGCGCCGTTGCCGGCAGGCTGACAACAGGAGAGCAGCTGAGGCCGCGGGCCCGGCTCTGTGCTGGCGCCCGGCTCTTATTCGCTCGGGGTTGGCGCCGTCCCAGCAACTCCGGAGCCCCCAGGGCCCGCATCTTGTGGAGGCTTTGCGCCCGGCGAGTGTGTCCGCCCACTGCCCCTGGGCGGGTACGTGCCGGACCCGAAACGGCTGCTGCAAGCTCACAATCGCCGCCTCCGACCGCTCTTACCTAGGTTTCTGGCTTGAAAAGTGACAAGGTTGGAGACAGTGGCGCTTTCACTTCCTATTGGTGCGGCCCTGCTGGAGTTCGAGTTCCAGAACCTTCTCGTCGGAGGTGACCAGGAGAAGGGGCTGCGGGGAGACCCCCGCCCGCGATGCTTTCCTCCTGACCGCCTGCGCTGCAGAGGGGCTCCAGCTCTTCACCCGCCCCCGCCGAGGGGAGCAGCGCAGCCTGGAGGGAGCCAGTCCTGTGCTGGCCACAGTGGGCGCTCCCTGGCCCGCGTCTCGGGCGGTCGGTTTGCGCGTCTCAGCATCCGCTGCCCTCAAGGACAGTGACCATTTTAGTGCTGGTGGCGGTTCTAGGCGAGGACACCCAGAGAGCAATTCTTGGCACTTAATTCGCCGTCTCCTCCTCTGCCCTCATTTGTTTCCAACCTTGCCCCCCATCCATTTAAAAATGTATCCGGGCTCGGCGCCTGTGGCTCAAGCGGCTTAAGGCCACATACAACTGAGCTGGCGGGTTCGAATCCAGCACCAACCAAAAAATAGGCATCGTGGCAGGCGCCTGTAATCCCAGCTACTTGGGAGGCCAAGGCAGGAGAATCGCTTGAGCCTAGGAGTTGGAAGTTGCTGTGAGCTGTGATGCCACCGTGCTCCACCCAGGGCGACAGCTTGAGGCTCTGTCTCAAAAAAAAAAAATGTATCCAGTCATAAAACACCACCCCCACCCCCCCACCCCGTCCTCCCCATTTTACTCAGAGCAGTGCCCAGGGTCTGGCTTAGAGCCGGACATACCCTTCTCCTCTAACCCTTTTCAGTCTTTGCTCAAATGGTACCTCCTCAGCGTGGCCTCCACCCATACCTCACTTTTTTTCTTCTCAACAACACTTATCCTACAAACTATGCTATAGAATTCTCTACCATACTATTTATTATCTTTGTTTTATTTTTACTTTTGTCATTTTTGTTTCCATTATCTGCCTCCTCTAACCAGAAAACATATTCCATAACAGCAAGGGGTCTTTGTCTAATTCTGATTTGTTCTGGGTGCAGTCTCAGTACCTGGACATGACAGTGGTCAATGAGTATCTGTCAAATTTAATGAAATTTAACAATGCATACCTCACAAGTAAGCACATTGTAGGAAAATTTTCTAAAATTTCAAAAATTCTTTTTTTGAGACAGTCTCACTTTGACACTCTCAATAGCGTGCAATGGCATCATAGCTCACAGAAACCTCCAACTCTTAGGCTCAAGCAATCCTCTTGCCTCAACCTCCCCAGTAGCTGAGACTACAGGCACTTACCACAACACCCAGTATTTTTAGAGAAGGGACTTGCTCTTGCTCAGGCTGGCCTGGAACCTGTGAGCTCAGGGTAATCCACCTGCCTTAGTCTCCCAGAGGGCTAGGATAACAGGTGAGAGCCACTGCAGCCAGCTCAAAATTCATTTTTTCAAATGACCACAGGTTTGGGGGGGGGGGGTTGCAGTTTTTGGCCAGGGCTGGGTTTGAACCCACCACCTCCAGCATACGGGGCCAGCGCCCTACTCCTTTGAGCCACAGGTGCTGCCCATGATCAGTTTTATAAAAATGAAATGGTCTTTTGAGAGTTTTAAAAAGTAATTGATTTGTGAAATATTCATGGAGTTTCCTTCCCTATCCAAAGAGCCACCTTCTGCATTATCAGAATGCCCCACACCCCCAAACCAGTCAGTGCCCACTACTAAGGGAGAACAGCTCTTTTCTAGCTATAGGAAATGTGAGTCATAAAAGCATTATTGCCGGTTGGGCTCAGTGGCTCACGCCTGTAATCCTAGCAGTCTTGGAAGGATGAAGCGGGAGGATCCCTTATCTCCTTGGAGACCAGCCTAAGCAAGAGCGAGATCCTGTTTCTGCTAAAAGTAGGAAAATTAGCAGGGCATAGTCCTAGTTACTGAAGAGGCTGAGGTGGGGCAACCACTTGAGCCTGGGAATGTTAGGTTGCTGTGAGCTGTGATGACACAAGGGCACTCAAACAACAAGGTGAAGCTCAAAAGTAGCTTATCAGTTGCTTATTTTCTTCTTTGCTTCAGTGTTTCCAGACATCATTTTCTTACTCATTGAATAGCACTGTGTTCTTCAATTATTATTTTCAGGCCCGGCACCTATAGCTCAGCGGCTAGGGTGCCAGCCACATACACAGGGGCTGGCAGGTTCAAACCCGCCCAGGCCTGCCAAACAACAATGGCAACTACAACCAAAAAATAGCTGGGCATTGTGGTGAGCTCCTGTAGTCCCAGCTATTTGGGAGGCTGAGGAAGAGATTCCCTTAAGCCCAAGAGTTTGAAGTTGCTGTGAGCTGTGATGCCATAGCAGTCTACCGAGGGTGGCACAGTGAGACTCTCTCAAAAAAAAAAAAGAAAGAAAAGAAAAAGAACTTATTTTCCTAAATGTGGTTTATTGTGTTAGGATTAGTTTCAGCTTCAAGTGACAAAAATCCAAAGCATGAGTTGCTTAAACATAATGGAAATTTCTCCCACTGCAATGTGGCTGGTAGAAGGCAAGGCCTTATCTTCAGAGAACCAGGATCCCCACCACACTTGTTCCTCCTTATAGCTATCATTCAGTTCTTTCACTGAAATTCAAGTTTAACTGGGCATCCTGTATTTTTATTTAATGTTTTTAGAGATAGGTCTCTGTTGCCCAGGCTGGACTTGAGCTCTTGGCTCAAGCAATCACTCAGCTGAAGAGTTCCAGCCCTCCAAGTAGCTACAACTACAGGCACATCACTCTGCCTGGCTCATCCTATATTTTTATTTGCTAAATCTGACAACTGTCAACTAAAGCCCCAATACTACAGCAAGTGTGTAGTATGTAATGGCTTTCCTAAGCAACACAGCCTGGGAGGCCAACAGTATGCGATAGGATTTGTGTCTTTTATTTTGGAAACCAAAGTTCAGAGGTATAAAAGGGATCTCTCACAGCTTAAACTGTATTACATGGTACAACTTCATTAATTCCATGTTTCTCCAGCTGTGCTATGGGTGGCATAGCTAAGGTGACAGCCCAGCTTGCCTAGAACTGGGAAAGTTCCAGTTGGAACCCTAGGTACAGGTAACAGAATAAACATAGCTTGCCCTGAAGCATCATTTAACCCAAAGATTCTGGGAGCTAGGTTCATAAAATTTGATATTTTCAAAAACATTACTTGTGATTCAGTGGGTGGGGCCCTGGCCCCATATACCAAGGATGGTGGGTTTGAACCCAGCCCTGGCCAAATTGCAACAAAAAATAGCCGGGTGATATAGCAGGCACCTGTAGTCCTAGCTACTTGGGAGGCTGAGGCAAGAGAATCACCTAAGCCCAACAGCTGGAGGTTGCTGTGAGCTGTGACAATACAGCACTTTACTGAGGGCAACAAAGTGAGACTCTGTATCCAAAAAAACAAACAAACAAACAAAAATTACAACAGATCTATTATTCCAAATGCTCAATTTGCATAAGTTTCTATAAGACAACCTGCAGGTCTGTCCTCTTCCAAGATGCTGTGGTGAGGTCAGTGTGGCACTGCATTACCTACCCACATGAAGTGGCCACTGTCCTAACTTAAAGCAACTGAGGGCAGCCCTCTCGGACAAGTGCAGAGCTCTCTGTCAGATGTTAACTGCACGTGCCCCCAGCTATCTGGGCATCTGGCAAAAACTCCATCCTTGTATTGCACTTTATACACTCATGCTAGCAGATCAAGTGCTGTTTCTGAGACTGCCTTTCATCTTTCAACTTGTGCTCTCAACTGATGGAGTAACCACAAAAGCTCACTTTCAACCTTAACTTTGTCACACCATGGTATTGTGGGAAATTCCAAATAAGCATCAGTTCACCTCAGCATTGAAGCACATAAATGAGTAAGCCATCAATTGCGAAAAGGAAAGCAGATTTATATACAAGCACTAAAAAGTTGAGCAGCTCCAGTCAACATCCAGACTCATAGGCCTCCAAAATCCACCCTCTTTTCATGTGAAACCAGAAGAGGAAACCATTATCATGCTGGTTTGGATCAGCTGCTGGTCAGGAGGGCTCTGTGCGGGGTGGGGTGGGAGGGGAGATGCCTCCCGGGCAGGAAGGTGTGGGGCCAGCACTGGAATCTGCCAGAGGGCCAGGGAGCTGTCAGGTGCACAGGAACTTTCCAGTGACTGGCCTTTATTCAGTTTTTTTTTTTTTTTTTTTT